GTTAGCGATGGTGGCAGTGGGCTCCTGATAAAAGGGTAAGTTTGGGGCCTGGCATGGTGGCTTATACCTCTAATCCCAGCACTTTAGGAGGCTGAGGTGGGAGGATCACTTTAGCCTAGGAGTTTGAGAGCAGCCTGGGCAACATGGTGAAACCCCGTATCTACAAAAAACACAAAAATTAACTGGGCATGGTGGCGCGTGCCGTAGTCCCAGCTACTCGGGAGACTGAGAGGTGGAAGGATCACTGGAGCCCAGGAGGTTGAAGCTGCAGTGAGCCATGATGGTGCCACAAACTGCAGCCTGGGTGACAGGGCAAGACTGTCTTAAAAAAAAAAAAAAAAAAGGGTAAGTTTGGCTCTCTTCTTGTCTCTGTCTCACACATCCACTCACTTGCCCTTCTGCTTTCTGCCATGGGACAATGCAACAAGACAGCCTTCACCAGATGCTGAGCAGGTGCTGGGCCCATGCCCTTGGACTTCCCACCCTCCAGACCATGAGTCAAATAAATTCCTTTCCTTTATAAATTATCTAGTCTGTGGCACTCTGTTATGGCAACATAAAACATACTAAGATAAGGACTAAAAAACATGGAGAGACAGATTTCCCCCACCACACGTGCACCTGCCACCTGGGCTCATAGGGAACACTGGGTGCTCTGCCAAGTTCAGGAGCACTGGATTGAACTAGGTTGATGGTAGTGAGCACAGGAAGAGACCTATGGGGACCATCAGAGGTATAATACGAGGCTGGATTCTTGCAAAGGAGCCTTGCTTTATGGGATAAGACCTTCTTTTCCACCCATCTGAAACCTTTGTCAACACCTGGCCTACTGGTATCAGACTCTGGGACATAAGTCTCAGCTCTGGTTTTTGTTTTGTTTTTTAAATTATTCTTGATATCTTTTCTCTAGGAGCTAAGCTTGAAAATCACCCTTCTGAAGTACCTATTACCCTTTCCAGCCAAGATAATGGCATAGGACACTCATAAATTAACTATCTTATTGAGAGGTTAGAACAGGAGCCTGAGCCCATGCCCCAGGGATAGCATTTCAGCCTCCTCCAATTTCCACTTACGTATTTTGCTCACATCTCTTGATCCAGTCGACTTGGTGGAAGGAGGGGCTGGGTAGAAAAGAAACAACACCCAAGTACTAACTGTCCTGAGCACAGCGCTGTGCGCTTTACCTGCATTCTCTTTTTTGACTCTTCAAAATTGTGCTCTGTGATCGATGCTACTGTCCCCATTTGAGAGGAGAAAGCTGAGGACTAGAGTTTGGCCATTGGTCCAAATACATACAGAGGCAGAGCCCAGCAAGCGTGGGGGAAGAGGGTGGCAAGAAGAGCCAAGACAGGAAGTGAGAAGAGAAGTCTTGCTGTCAGAAGGTGCTGACAAAGCCACAGAGAAATTGCAAGGGCACCAGAAGGCTTTTCAGAGGAGGTCGAGGCACAGGCAAGGGGGAGTCGGCAGGAGGAGAGGGAGTGAGTGTTTTGAGAGGTCAGCAGCTGGAGTCCCAAACCTTGCAATGGATTGAGCTGGAAGCCCCTTAAGGCTGCAATTACAGCTACACAGAAACATCCCTCTGCATCAGGCCCATAGGCTAGACGTCACACCGCCCCCATTCCCATATCCACACCACCCCCGAAATCCATAGATGGGTCCACTGTGGCAGGTCAGCCGTGGAAGCCTCCCAGGCAGACAATGGCCTTGTTACCTCCTCGCCGGCTTCTCTCAGCCTCTGTTATTAACATTCAGGCAGCTCTTCACACCATTCATCGAAGGCCACAGAGGAGCTGAGATCTGATCTAGCCCGGCTGAGCTGCATTAAAATCAATTAAAAATGAGAGATAAGCCTCTTCTTTCCAATGGAAAAATCCACAGGAGCAAGAGAAAGACACACACAGCCCCATCAATCATTCCAGGCTCTGCTTTCCTTGGGCTTTTCTTCCCCACTAAACAGCTGCAAGATGAGCCGGCTGAGCAGAAAGGTCTTCTTGCCATGGGGCTGTGGCTGGCAGCTCCCAGACTGGGCCTCAGCTGCCAACAGGATGTGCCTGCTATCCCGTTGCCAGCCTGACTGCCTGGCAGTCTGACCGCAGCTGAGATGAGCAGAGAGCAACCAGGGAGAAGTCCAGAAGCCTATCCCTTGAGCCATCTCATGAGGCCTGATGCCACCTCCCCTTTCTCTTCTGGGCCCAGAATTTAGGCCTCCGGGAAACCTTGTATTCCAGGCTTATCTTAGCTGTCTCTGAAGATCTGAGCAGAATTAGACTTCTCTTATTCCTCTTTGGAGAATTTTTACTGCTGTGATTATTCCTGTGAAACTGCGTTTCCTGATTTTTTTTCTAAGGAAGAATGGGGGTGTGTGTGTGTGTGTGTGTTTTATGCACTGGGACCTGCACCCACACAGGGCCTAGCACTAAGTAAACATTCGTCAAATGAATAAGAAAAAACAAGACCAACATGCATCTGCCATCCAACAGCCGTAACCAATCAAGCAGACAGCATTCGATGCCGGTTTTGGTATTTTCTTTCTTTTCTTTTTCTTTCTTTTTTTTTTTTTTTTTTTTTTTTTTTGAGGCAGAGTCTCGTTCTGTTGCCCAGGCTGGAGTGCAGTGGCATGATCTCAGCTCACTGCAAGCTGTGCCTCCCGGGTTCATGCCATTCTCCTGCCTCAGCCTCCTGAGTAGCTGGGACTACAGGTGTCTACCACCACGCCCAGCTAATTCTTTGTATTTTTAGTAGAGACGGGGTTTCACCGTGTTAGCCAGGATGGTCTCGATCTCCTGACCTCATGATCTGTCCAGCTCAGCCTCCCAGTTTAGGTATTTTCAATTGCAACCTGAAGTAATCCATTTAACAGTTTATTTATTTAACTGGTGGCCACATCTTTGATTATCCTCTTGACACACTGAGAACGTGTTCATTCTTTTTTAAAATAAAATAGAGATAAGGGTCTCCCTCTGCTGACCGGGCTGGTCTCGAACTTCTGGCCTAAGGCAATCCTCTTGCCTCAGCCTCCCAAAATACTGAGATTACAGACCTGAGCCACCATGCTTGGCCAAAAGTGTTCATTCATATAGATGCACCCAGCCCCAGCACAGTGTCATGCCCAGGATGGCAGGCTTCCTGGAAGAGGTGGGCTTGACCTCAGCCTGTAAAGCTGAGTGGATTTGGCTGGGCAAGACTACAGGGGAGAGCTTAAAATATTAAAATTGCCAGGGAAAGGAGTCTAGACTTGCTCTATGTGAGCCACTCCTGTTTATACTACAGATGGCCTACCCTCACCCAAATGACTATTTTATACCCTCTCCTGAGTCAAGATGACCCTAGAGAGTAGGCTTAATGGACAATGAGAAAGAGTATCTTGATCCAGAGCCACTGGGATTTTCTTGGGTGTTCCAACATGCAGGCACTGATTGGATCGGATTTGAAATACAATTCTTCCTGGTAATTTATGGAAGGATATTGACTCAAATGCATAATTGCTTCAAGTAATCAGAGCACTTTGCAATTCATTCAGTTAAGAGCTTAACCTGTCATGTGAGTTGTTAAATCACAATTGCAAAGACTGAGGCTTCAGTAATGCTCCCGCTGGACCAAGGATATCATGGACATAACCAAATACCATTGGGGGAAGGGTGTTCTCTGCTTCTTATGGTTCGGGTGTGTGAAGAGGAAGCCAGTTGGAAAGAGATTGTCACTTGATAGAGTTCAAGCCTTGATTATTTACTATTGTGTAATTCAGAGAAAACTATTAATTAGCTGAGGTGCTTAGACCTCTAGTCAGTGCAGGCTGTTTCCAATGCATGGCTGGTGATAAAGAAGGGCCTTACTCACCGGCTCTGAAATCAGGGGTTCATAAAGCAACTCACTTTGTGCCTGTGTTCATTGATTCATTCACAGCACTTGTTCATTTATTCATTCAACAATATTTATGGAGTGCTTTCTTTCAAGGCCTTTGGAAGGGGTGGATTTCTAAAATTAACAACTAGAATGGCCTGGGCAAGAAGCAATTAGAATAAGAAGCTGACGGATCAGAACAGACACTACTTATAAACGACCAACATACTCTGATTTGCACAGGTGTGATCTCAACCCTGGGGCTGATGATGCAGTAGTGAGCATGAACGACAGCTTATGTTCTGGTGACCTTGTTGGGAGAGGTCAGTGGGGACTTCCCAGAAGGGATGCTTCTATGATGAATCCTGCAGGAGCAGAGGGACAAGAAAGGAAGCAGGCACCGCTGGGATTCGGGGTGGGCATCACACATACAAAGTCCCATAAGCAAGAGAGCCTGCTGGGACTTCAGGAGCCTTCCAGTAGCTGGACGAGGCTGGAAGGAGGTGATGAGGCTGGGAGGGACCAACTCACGAAGGACCTGGCATGACTTAATGATGATTTGAGACGTAATACCTCAAGCTGATTTGGAGAAGCTGGAGGATTTCTAATCAGGAAACGATTATATCAAACTATCTTTCCAGTGTTTTTGGAACAACAAAGCCCAGATCCGACCATGCCATCCATTGTTAAGATGCCTTGGTGGCTCCCATTGCACTTAGGCGGAATAGCAATGGATTCCTTCTGCATTTCCACCCCACCTGCATGCCTCTCCCTCCCTGCACTTCAGCTCCTCCTTGCTTACCTCCTGTGCCTGGGTTGGCTCCTCCCAACCCAGGGCCTTGGCTCAAGCTGCTCCCCAACCTGAATACTCTTTCCCACCTTCTTCTACTTCCACCTCAGATTGGCATTACTCTCTCTGGGAATTCTTTCGTAACCTCTCTAACTAGGTCAGTTCCTCCCAATAGAGCCATTTATAGCAATTTTCATAGTTGCAATTGTATAGCTATTGGTGTGATTTTTAAAATCCATAACTAATTTTCCAGCAGACTGATACTCACTGAATTCCTGTGCATTAGCTACGTATTGTTTTGTAACAAATTACCCCAAAACATGGCAGCTTAAAACAACAAACATTTATTATCTCACAGCTTCTGCTGGTCAGGAGTTTGAGGGCAGCTTTGCTGAGTGATTCTGAGTCAGGATCACTCATGAGGCTGCAGTCAAGATGTTGGCCAGGGCTACAGTCATCTGAAGGCTTGACTGGGGCTGGAAGATCCACTTCCAAGATGGTCACATGGGCTTCTCCATAGGGCTGCTCACAACATGGCCACTGGCTTCCCCTGAAAACCAGAACTCACAATGTCTCTAATGACCTCACTTCAGACATACTACTTCATCATTCCAGAATGTTCTCTTGATTACAAAGGTCAACCTAATTTGATGTGGAAAGGGGCTATGTAAGTGCATGAATACAATGAGAAAGGGATCATCCATGGCCATCTCAAAGGCTGCAAATCCCATCTGTCCTTGTTCACTGCTGTATCTTCAGTGCCTCACTCAGGGCCCACCACACTGTAAACATTCAAATAACAATTTTGATAAATGAAAATGGTTTGATTAGATTATTCAATTCAAACAGTGAGGATGGGCACAGTGAGCCTCCCCACCCCTTTTACCATTTCCAGCAAAGTCTCAGCAATAACTAAGTCCCATCTTTTGCCTTGCCTCTCATGGCCCCAAAGACTGAGTATCAGAGTCCTACTCAGAGGATGAAGGGAACACCGTCAGGCCACAGCCCTGGCTGCAGTCAGCTCTGGCCCCACGTGCAACCTTGTCACTGAGTGTGCATTTCCTGAGGATGCTCCCTGGGCAGCTGTTCATGCCTCAGACGTTTGGATCAGAGGAACACCAACTGAGGGAACTGGAAAGCGGTGGCTTCACTTTATTTGCTTGTTCCACGTCAGCTGACTTCCAATGAGAGTGTGTTGAGCTGCACAGACAGCTCTGTCAGGGGCCTGTTTTTGGTGGCCCTGCCGGATTACAAGGCTCCATCACTGAGGAGTGAGGGAAGCAGCTGACACTCCAGCCTACACTCCGGATGTCTCTCTGTATGTGTCTGCCACTGAAAACTGGCTCTTCAATAATGCATGGAGCTATTAGCACCAAGCTGAGGATGACTTGCTCCCTCCCAGCGATCAAAGCTGCCGCTGGGAGCCCAGTCGATGATCAGATTTCATGGGTTCCTTGTAACTGTTGCCCCTTCATATGAGATTAGAATGGACTGTTTCATGTCCAAGGATGAAAGCAGCAAGGATTTGGGAGAAAATCCGGCTTCCCTGATAAATCAAAATGCTTCCATTTCATTACAAATGAATGCATGACACAGCTAATAGCTCCTGTGAGAGGGAACGCTGCGGGACCAGCTGTCTCCACCAGCTTCTCTCAGAGGCTGGGTAAAATGTATAAGATGCTGGACCATGGACCAGGGAAGCCCCTTGATTTCCTTATGTCTAGGGAAGCCCCTTGATTTCCTTATGTCTAGGGCATCTTCCAGACCATAGAGGCCTGCCACAAATCCCTGGGAAATTCACCTTTATTCTGCAGCATTAGCAAAGTTTGAAGCAATCCCCTCAGAGGCGACTTGGGGGCTTGGAGCCAGGACTGCTGGGGAGGAGGCGGCTGCGGCCGGCAGCTGACATAACATTAATAGCTCCTCACCACTGTGCATGCTCACATGTCCAGTACTTTGCATACAGTAAGTACCTCTAATCCTTGCAACAACTGCAGTGTATTATTAGATCTTGCTACAGTGAAGAAACTGAAGATCAGAGAGCTGAAGTGATCTTGTCAGGGCCACCCAGCTAAGGAGTGCTGGAGCCCAGAGTGAAAGCCCTGGGCTGTGCTCATGCCTCTGTACCAGCTGCTCCCTCAAGTCCCTCCAGAAGCAAAGACAAATCTAGAAGCAAAAGGGAGAGTCCCTGGAGGAGCCGGCCATTTCAGTTACAGGAGAGGGGTGGGGCATGTAGTCGACACCACTACGAGAACCCCCTGGTCTGACTTCGGAGGCTTCCCACAGTCAGGCCCAGCCAGCGTCGCAGCCGCCTTTAGTGTCTTCTCCAGGGAGCTCTCTCCTTTCTCGGCTGAGATGCTGATTTCTTCTGGCTGCTGGTTCTGAGCCCCGGGGTGGATCATCTATCCTCTCTGGCCTTGCTTCCATCATCTATGAATTGGAGGTAATGACGCTGCCTTAGTGGCAAGACAGCCCAGGAGCTGCTCGGGCCGCGTAGCACAATGGGATTCTCCTGGCTCATATATCCCAGCGAGTGCCCACCTCAGCCCACCTGCCATGCCCTTCCTTCCTCTGCAGTAGCTTCCCCGCTTCATCTGTGCCCCCACAGTCTGGGACACTCGGGTCCAAACTCCTCCTCCTTTTGAAAGACCTTCCCTATATGGGCTTCCCACCAGCCTGCAGCCTGGATGGGCGGGATCTCCTCATCTCTAGTGTTGTGAGATGAGGTCACATATCACCAGTTTGGCCAGGAGCCACGAGGAGCAGGGTATGGGTCTCTCCACTTCCACCTCCCATCTGTGCCCCCAGATCCCCTATATCTTCCTGGGCATCCAGCCTGAGGCAGGCTGCAGCAGGGCTGATGGTGATTTTGTAGACCTGGCTTCTGAGGGTTGGGTGGTCTCCGAGTCAAAGTACAATCCCCCCATCCATCTCCCTGCCCCAGTGGACGGAAGGACACCTCCTGCAGAACAAGCACAGGCCAAGGAGTCAGAGGCAGGTGCCAGTGGCACCCTCAGAGAGGGGTCCTCCCTGTCTGCCTCCCCTGTCCAGGTTTGGGCACATCCATGTCCCTGGCGTGTCCCTGATAGACCCAGAAGTACAGATGCCATAGGGAGGCTTAACCTCCCAACTGACCCTCTGACCAGATCAGAGCCCTTGAGGGTGGACTATGTCTGGCTCATGCCCACGTGCCTAGGGCCAGCATCGTATCTGTACAGGGAGATGCCCCACATGTGGGGAGTGTTAGACCCAGTCAGGGGTGGGGGGACCGGGGCTGAGGCCTGGCGACATGGTTCGTGGGTTTCTTAGGCAAACTCAGAGACAGGAAAAGCTGGGTTGGCAAGGTGGAAGGGGCTCAGTGATCAGGCTCTGACCAGGGCACTTATAAATACGTGTTTGCAAATCACCGATCTTCGATCCCCCCACCTCAAATTCAGAGACAGCTTGATGTATGCTGTGTGGAGGAGCCATGGCCTAGAGACAGTGCCATCACTAACGCCCGGGGACTTCACATGCACGGCCTCTCCTGGGACTCGGTTTCCTCACTCACGCTGGGAGCTGGAGTAGAAGTTCTCTGCAGCTCCCCATCAGCTCCCACGGAATGGCTGTTGTGAAATTCCCTTCACTGTGCCCAAACCTCTAACCACAGGCAGTGGAGGCCCCAGGCCTCAGTGTGCTGTCAGCCTGATGAAAGGTGGCTTTATCCTGCCAGAATTCCCTCCCTCAGTTCTTGCCACCACTCCTGGCTCCTTGTCCACCTGCTGGGCAGTCCTATACCGGGGCGTGTCAGGACGAAGACCTGCCCGGGCCAGCGGCTGTGCCGAGATCAGGAAGGAATTACTGCAAGAACCCATCTGTTTGTGCCTCTGCTTTGGAAGCTACTTGTGCACTGAAGTAAAAGCTTTGGCTCTGTTGTCAGGGACAGTGAAGGGCATCTGTGTCCTTCGACGCTGCACATATAGGAGCTGGCACCCTGGGACTCTTTAGTGTCCCCTTTGGACAGGGCAGAAGGCCTGATTGAGCAAGTGGCTCTTAGGAGAAAAGTCTAAACAGACATTGAATGAATGTGAATTGTTCCTCTTGAGGCACATATGGGCTCCAGTTTGCCTTCAGCCAGGACACAGAAAGGAATCTTTGCCAGGAAGGGGACTGGCGCAGAGATTAGGAGGGCCGAGCCTGCTCTGGTGAGCTCCGTGAGCCTGGGCATGGCCTCCACCTTTCCACACCCGGGAAGGTTTGCACATGCTGCTCTCTGGGATCTGGGTCGATGGCTGCATCCGCTGACAGACACTAACAGTTCTAGTCACCCGCCATGGGGAAGAGGCACGATGGCCATCTCTTCCCAGGAGAGCGTTTCAGAGATCACGCTGTGCGGAGTGTGTTTGATATCTCATGATCCCCTTAGACGGGTGAGATTGGGCTACCTGCATCTGCCTGCCAGGTGATCAGTAGCTTCAGCAAGCATTACTTCAGCACTGCCTGTGGGTTCCACGGCAGGTGGGGCATCTTCACACAGTGTTTCATGATATCCTCACAGTCCTCATTATCTCCCAATGACCCAGATCCTGCTGGACACAGTCCAGGGCTCCCTGCTACCCCTCTGCAGCTGCTGCATCGGCCAGGGACTTCACTCAGCCTGCTCCTCTTTCAGTGTTCAAGATAGAAATGCCAGGTGTGGCAATCTTGTCAGTTCTTCAAGCGTCAGCCAAATGCCCCTTCCTCCAGGAAGCCTGCCAAACTTCTCTCTCCCTGTCATGCATGCCTGTGCTTGCATCCTGGCCATGCCCTTGTCACCTTTGTTGCTGTGGAGTTATTTGTACACCTGACTTTGCCCCCGGAGCTCCCCGGGGCATCAACGCTGAGTCTTTCATTCCCTGGCGACACTCCCTTCCCCTCGGGTACTTGCTAAGTGAATAGGTGAGCAGGGTTGTGGTCTGGCTGGCACCTTCCTCGACACCCAAGACAAGGCATGAAGGGTTAGAGACTTCAAAGTGATCCTTTTAGCCTGCAAGGAGACCACAGCAGGGGATACACTAGATGAAATTACTTAAAACATGAGGAGAGCACAGGGCACAGGAGTGCTTCTCAAGAAAGGGGTTCTGGGGCAGGAGCAGAAGCCGGTGGCAGGGACGAGGGCCATGGGCCGCTGAAATGCTCCCTGCCAGCCCCAGTGCCCGCAGACGGCCCCTGCAGCCTGGGGGAAGCCCTGCCTGCCTCCTCACACCGCCCGCAAACTGCTCGTGGCCGAGGGACCTCAAGGTTTCTCCAGCGGACACCCTTTGTGTCTTGCGAGAGCCTTGTTTCTAAGGGAGAGGCAGCCGACAGCTTGCTGGGAGATTTCTAGAAGAAAGCTGGTGGGGGTGGCTACTGCTTTCTAGATTACTCAGTGTTTTACTGGAAGCACACTGGTAGTTTTGCACAGTCACAGCCAGCACAGCCTGCAGTCACAGAATGTTCTGGGCTCACCCTTTTCTCTGGCGTGGGGAAGTGAGGCTCAGCGTAGAGGCTGTACCCAGAGGCACATGACAGTCTGGGCCCAGGCCAGGGCTCAATGAGGAGCCAGAGCGTCCCGGCCTGCCTGGACTCCAGCCGGGACCTCCCACGCGAGACTCATTCATCTACGCCCAGGATTCTCAAAGAACCCTGGCCCCAGCCTGCTCCCTGTTACGTGCTAAGCCCCAAGCTTACCCATGCCTCCTGCCATGGGGACCAGAGAATGTGAAGACCACCAGGGAGACCCGCCCTGGAGACCATGGTGTGCTGCTGACTCAGGGTGAGGCAGTTCCCTGAGGAGGGAGCGAGCCCCAGCCACCCACAGGAGTGTCTTCCAAGGAAGTGGAGGTGGAGGGAGACCAAGGCAAGCCCTGAAGAGTACCAGGTGTGGAGAAGGACAGAGGGGAGATCCCACATCCAGGCTCTTCTGGGATGCGTGTGGTCTCTCCACGGACAAAGCTGTGAGTGAGGAACCATGTGATGGAGTGTGGGAGAAGGGGTGGGGGGCTCTAAGGAGGCTCAGCCGGTACCCCGGGGCTGCTGTCTTCCCAGCATGACTCACCGGGGCTTCTCCTCCTCTACTCAGCCCTGCCCCTCCATCTGCAGATCTGTGATCTCACAAACATACTCGGTGCCCTTCCAGAGAATGACATCACCAAGTGTGCCCTCTGTCCTGTCACTTGGAGCTCCTGGAAGCTCAGAATGTCCCTCAGTCTGGACACTGCCCCTGGCCTGGGGAGCTAGATGCGCCCCCCCCCCTCCCCTTCTGCCCTAGTGCGGAGGAAAGAAGACCAAATCTGGAGTCAGCAGACATAGGAGTCTAATCCCTGGTGCTGACACATCTAGGCAGTCATTGCCTTAGCCACACTCAGCCTTAATCTCCTGATCTGCAAGATAGGGAGAACCACACTAACCTTGCAGTTTGTGGTGACTCAAGGAAACCCACGTGAGAAATGTCTGGCACTGTGCCTGGCATGTAGTGGGTGCTCACTAAATACTCATTTACAGTTTTTTTCCCCTCCCTGTCCTAACCTTTTTTTCTCCAGTAAGTGACTGGGGACAGGAGTCCACTCTAAGAACCTCTGCCTGCCCTCAGATCTCCGTGGCAAGTGAGGGCTACATGACCCCTTTGTGCTGCGAAGGCGCATCTCAGGACACTGACCTGCATGTGCCCAGGCTCATGGTGTCGGCAGAGAAACTGTGGGTGAGACCTTTGTGAAAATGGACACCCAGATGACCGGGAAGGGGAGGGGCCCCAGGAGGAGGGAGAACCAAAGGTCCTCACTGTTTGTTATTCCACCTGTTTGTTTTCCCCTAATCCCCAGCCCACAGGGAGCTGCCACACTTACCCTGACTTCCCCAGCGGGCCCAGCTCAGGAGCAGAGGCCGAGCAACACAGGCTGATCAGGCCACCATCACAATTGGCCTCTGTGCCCAGGGGGTCCCTGCAGCCACCATCAGGAAAGCTCCCACCCTGGGGACAGAGTCTCTCCTGCCTCCTGTTCTTCCTGGGGTCAGAGACTTGCTCCTGATCAAGGGTAAGCAGGTGCATGGGCTGGTGCCACTAGCTCGGTGCAGTGGCTCCCCTCTGCTCCCATGAAGGGCCTGAGAGGTATTTCAGGGCTCTGAGCATGGACTCAGCCAAACACTTGGGCAGGAGGGATGGTATCTTGTTGCCTTCAGGGCTTGGAGTGAGAGAAAGAGGACCTGACAGACCCGTGGGAGACGAGCGTGAAGACAAAGCAATGACCCCAGATAGGCCAGTCGCAAATTCCGGGAGAGATCCGCGGACCCTGGAGTTTCACCTGGACCTTGAGAGACAGAATTTGAATATTGTGGAGATTAATGAAACAAAACACCACAGGAGCAAAGGCCTGAGTGAGGCTGGCCCTCTGGGGCTGCTGTATCTGGCCAGCTGGTGGGCATGGAGGGCCCACCCCACGGGGGAAGCCAGGCAAAGAAAGAAGGCTGGAGGCGGCCGGAAAAGAAGCAGGTGTCAGGCGACGTTTGAATTGATTTTCAGCACTAGGGAGCCAGCTCCGATCAGGGAGTGGCGTGAGCAGAACTGCCTTCTGGAGAAGGCCTTGAAACCACCTTTTCAAAAATGGTAACAGTGAGAAAATTATGACAGTTAAAGAGATCTCAGCTAACCTACCCCCAATCTTCCCTTTCCCTTCGTTATTCCTGGGCTATTGGGCCGAGCGAATTTTGGAAGACATGTAGGCTGTAGTTTAAATGATAACAGGCCTTGTCCCCAAAACTCAGCCACTTTTGTAAAGCTATTGAGAGGCCATCAGGCTTGGGGGAGGAGAGGACCCTGACTTCTGCTAAGGGGCAGGACTGTCAGCCGTGTTGCTGGAGGTCAGAAGACATGCGACTTCCCTAATTACTCCTGCAAATAACGCCAGTGTTGTGAACCTAAGGTTGACCTTCTGAGGTACCTTTTCAGGCTTTGTGCATGTCTGACACCCATGGCTCCACCCCACGTGGACCCGCCAACCTTGCCCCTGTGGCCCCACACAGAAGTGATTCAGCACCCAGGAGGACAGCTTCGACCCCCTAAGATTTCATCTCCGCCCAACCAATCAACAGCAAGCACCTGTTACCTGGCCACCCCCAACCCTTCCCCCAAACTGCCTTTGAAAAACCCCTAACCTGCAAGCTTTGAAGATGATTTCAGTACTAACTCTGTCTCCCACATGGTGTGGCGGGCCTCGGGTCTGTTAAATTCTTTCTTTACTGCAATTCCACGACCTTCATTCATGCAGTGGGCAGGAAGAACTCCTCCAGTGATTACAGCCTGGGGTGCAGGGTCCGGATGGACGGAGCAGCACCTGGAGAGGACCGTTAACCCTCTGTCATCCATGTGTGGCTAGGTGAGTGATGCAGCCAGACCCACGGCCGTATCTGCCTGCAGGACCCGCCTGAGTCCTCAGCCACAGACCCAGGTTTCTAAGCCAACCCAGAGGGGATGCAGAGCCCTCCCTTTGGAGAGCCAAGATCCTGCTGAACCTAGGAAGGTACTGAAATACCAGCAGAGAGCTCACGGAGCAGCCATGGCCAGGGCTCAGGCACTGCCTGCGGCCCACCCTGGAGCTCCCATGCCCACCTGTCTCATCTTTCCAGAACTGGCCCGTCTCTGCAGAGTTGGCAGCAGCTCCTCCTGCCAGCTGAGAGCCAGCTCCAGGCCTCCTTGGATTTTCCCAGGCAGAGCCCAAGGCCTAGGTGCCAAGTCCGAGTCCCAGTTCTTCTTGGCAGGCCCGGCCCCTGTTTGTCTTTGGGTTTTTTAACTTTTTATTTTGGAATCATTACAGACAAGTTCCAACGATAGTACAGAGAGTTCGTTCCCATGTACCCTCACCCAGCTTCCACTAATGTTAACGTCTTATATAACCATGGTACACTTGTAAAAGCAAAGAAATTAACATTGGAACAATACTATTAATTGAACTACAGCTTTTATTTGGATTTTACCAGTGTTTTCTTAAGGGACATTACATTGTCATTTTTCTTGTCTAGGCCCAATCCCGGTTGCCACATTGTATTTAGTTGTCACTTCCTTTGGTCTCCTTTCACCTGGGACAGCTTCTCAGGGTTTCCTTGCTTCTTATGACCTTGACAATTTTTAAAAAAAATTATGATGAAATAGATATATAACATGAAAGTTGCTATTTTAACCATCTTTAAGTGTATAATTAAGTGGCAGTAATTGCATTCACAATGTTGTGAAACCATCATCACTATTTCCAAAAGAGAAACTCTGCCCACTAACCAGTAACTCTCTACTCTCCTCCTCCCAGGTACCTCTTTTTTTTTTTTTTTTTTTTTGAGACAGAGTCTTGCTCTGTTGCCCAGGCTGCAACGATCTTGTGACCTTGGCTCACTGCAACCTCCACTTCCCGGGTTCAAGCAATTCTCCTCCCTCAGCCTCCTGAGTAGCTGGGATTACAGGTGCCTGCCAACATGCCCAGCTAGTTTTTGATATTTTTAGTAGAGACAGGGTTTTGCGATGTAGGCCAGACTGGTCTCAAACTCCTGACCTCAGGTGATCCACCCACCTTGGCCTCCCAAAATGCTGGGATTACAGGTGTGAGCCACCGTGCCCGGCCCCAGGTACCTCTTAAGAGGCTTAGAGGAGCCCCCACCCCAGCCTCATGCCCAGGAAAGAGGTCTTGTTGTTTCTGGCCAGAATCAGTCCTTCTAGACCCCAGAGCTACACAAAGAAGCCTGCAGGAGTCGCTCCCTTCCTTGTGGTGTCCATGGTGGGCACCAATCCTTGATCCTTAGCAAAATGCATACTCACTAAGGGTAGAGAGAAGTAGGAAGCCCGCATCCTGCCCCCTTCTCCTGTGTTGGCTTGTGTTTGTTGGTTGGTTTGTCTTCTGAGACAGGCTCTTGCTCCTCAGGGCTGGAATGCAGTAGAGCAATCACGGTTCACTGTAGCCTCCACCACCCCCTCACCCGGGCTCAAGTGATCCTTGGGCCTCAGCCTCCCGAGTAGCTTATGCACAACCACACCCAGCTAAGTTTTAATTTTTCTTATAGAGACTTGGTGTCCCTGTGTTGCCCAGGCTGGTCCTGTATTGGCTTTTTAACAAAGGCTGAGACACCTTAGACATAGCTTCTGACAGCTCCCTGGCTAAAGTCTGAACACCCAGCACTAGCATTTCTCTTTGTGGGGTCAGTGTGGGGCTCTCAGAGGAGTCTACCCAGGCAGAGAACCCTAGACAGAGGTGCCCACTGCCCACTGGCCCCAGCTCTTATCACCGTCATGGTAGTCATGCAGACGAGAGTATCGCTCTGCATAACTGCAGTCCCACATTGGGGATGCCATCCTCAACAGGCTGTCTCCAAGGGCACACTGGACACAGAATGACCTCAAAGCCAGGGGTATGAGCCCACAGCCCATGCCATGCGGGCCTCTGCCACCTTGTAACAGGCATGGGACAGCAATGTGCCTGGCTTGCTGCCCCCAGGGCCACAGCCTTCTGGCCAACATCAGCAGGCTCAGCCCTGCCACAGATCAGGGCACTCAGGATCCGGGCGCCCATTGCCAGACTCCTGTCATCGGTCTCCAGCCACCTGTCCAGACACTCGTGCACCCCGACGGGACGTCCATACTTGCTGCTTCCTCCCCTTTCCCTTACAAAATATCCTTCAATAACTCTTCATGGCAGCAAACCTTTTACCAGTCTATGTAGAGCCTGTTTTTCTCTGAATCCATTTTAGCTTTCCCAGTAACCAGGATGGTTGGTCATCCTATTTCCCAGCCTCTGCACCTACCGATCCCCACCAGGAAAGCCCAGATTATTCACACCTCCACGTAGCCATCCCTCCTGACCTCCAGCCTTCATAAATGCTGTTCCCTCCACCTGAATGTCCTTCCTCATCTTTGACTATCAAAAGCCAATGCAGTGTTCAAGTCCGGCTTCTCTGTGAGGGCTTCCCGGTCCCCGCCTTGGAGTCAGAGCTCCCTCCTCTCTCCCCCTGGGCTCACTTTGAAGCTCCAAAGGGAAGGGCCTCAGGGCTGGAGCAAGGCATGGATCCCCCTGAGTGTGCAAAGTGTCAGAATCAGTAACTGGCACAGCTCCAGCTGCCTCCCTCTCCTCACCCAATAGTGAACAGCACGAGGGCAGACACAGCTGGTTTTACCCTGTTACACATCAGATGCTCATTAATGCTGTATTCCCAACCTCCTCCAGTGGTGTTTGCCGGCCCCTCGGGCCTCGTGTTGTCGCTCTGGCACCCTGGGGGCTCAGGTGGAGCCACGGCCAGGACAGGTCTCACCATTGACAAGGGCACTCAAGCTCCCAGATGGACTCCCGCCCTGTCCAAGCACTACAGCCTGGACTGGGGCCGACCTGCTTCCAATGACCCACAGTCCATCCCCACCTTACCTTATCCATAGGAGCCATTTGACAAGCTCTTGTTGAACAAATGCTACAAATGAGCGCATGGGCTGTGTCCTGAAGGTGATTAATGGTTTATTAGAGGTGTGGGAGAGTGGATGTATGCAATGGGAGACTGGGCTAGGTGGTTGCGGGCAAGAAAGGTGCCCTCTAGCACCCTGGACACAAGAGCAGACTGCAGACAATTGGTGGAAATGGTAGCAGGAGGAGAAGTCCGCAGGTGAGTCTTTGGGGCCCTGCTCAAGTGGGGAGGCCCACAGGCTCTCAGGAGGGAGCGCTCTCAGCCCCAGAGGGCTACTAGTAGCAAGGGTTAAGAACCACTCCTTGGCTGGGCGCGGTGGCTCACGCCTGTAATCCTAGCCCTTGGGGAGGCCGAGGCAGGCGGACTACCTGAGCTCAGGAGTTCGCGACCAGCCTGGGCAACACGGTGAAACCCAGTCTCTACTAAACTACAAAAAAATTAGCCGGGCATGGCGGCAATTGCTTGAACTCAGGAGGCAGAGGTTGCAGTGAGCCGAGATCGTGCCACTGCACTCCAGCCTGGGTGACAGAGAGAGACTCCGTCTCAAATAAAAAAGAAAAAAGAAAAAAAAAAAAGAAAGAAAGAACCACTCCTCAAGCAGCCAGCTTGGGGCAGGTAGCGGGAGTGGCCAGCCAGAGGCCAGGAATGGGTCCCGCACATTCCTAAGTCAGCAATTTGGCTTTAGGGGAGAAGGCGTGTGCAGTGCAGTGCAGAGGAAGGGTGGGAGAAACAGATGCACGAGGGAAACTCCCGTCCCAAGCCAGAAGGGGCAGCTGCAGCCCACATCCCAGCAGGACAGGGAGGAGTAGACAAGGCTGGGTCGGGCTGGCGCTGCAGAGAGCCAGTGGCGTTGAGGTGGCCCCACCCTAGAGCAGGAAGACAATACCAGGCAGGGCAGGGCAGGGCAGCGGTGGGTGACCCCGGCTGAGGTCCAGATACCCCTGCTTCCTTTTGGGAGACAGCTTTCACAGCACGCCTCAGCATCTGGTGGGGCAAACAATGGAGGCTTCTGGCAGCCGCAGAGAGCAGAGCGTGGTGAGAGGCATGGACAGCTCCCCACCAACCCCGTGAAGCTGAATTGGACGGGATACAGAGCTGGGGTGAGGTGAGGACCCCCTGAGAGTGCAAAATGTCGGAGCCAGTAGCTGCCACTGAGGGCGATGGAGGTAGAGCTGGGGGTAGGGGCGTGGGGACTGATGGCAGCAGCCATTGATTCTACAGCAGTCCCTGAACTGTGCACTTCACTTGCATTCATTCAACAAACATTTACCGGAGGCCAACTGGGCACCAGGGATAGAACAATGAACCGCGTAAATGTGACCCCTCTGTCTTCTCAGTTTTTCTCCCCTACCCTGGCACATGAGGCCAGCATTATTATCCTTACCTTAAAAATCAAGGAATTGAAGCTCAGAGAGATGGAGGTGGTGGGGACACTCAGCTGTGTGGCAGAGAGGTTTCCACCCCTGCCAGACTGTCCTGGGTGTGCCTCCACCTCCCATACCACAAGGCCTGTCAATTCCTCCCAGCTGCCAAGGATCCAGGGACCCTGCTCTGAAATTCTGAAACTGTCAAGGCCAGAAGGTGGCTGCTCCCTTGCAGTTTCTGGGAGGATGTGGATTGCAGCAAGCCTGTGACACAGGGACCTCCCAACACGTATGCCACCCTCCTGGTATCTCCCCTAGACGCCCAGCACGGTTGCTTTTTTTTTTTTTTTTTTTTTTTTGAGACGGAGTCTCGCTCTGTCGCCCAGGCTGGAGTGCAGTGGCGCGATCTCCGCTCACTGCAAGCTCCGCCTCCCGGGTTCACGCCATTCTCCTGCCTCAGCCTCCTGAGTAGCTGGGACTACAGGCGCCAGCTACCTCGCCCGGCTAGTTTTTTGTATTTTTTTAGTAGAGACGGGGTTTCACCGTGTTAGCCAGGATGGTCTCGATCTCCTGACCTCGTGATCCGCCCGTCTCGGCCTCCCAAAGTGCTGGGATTACAGGCTTGAGCCACCGCGCCCGGCCACGGTTGCTTTTTGAGAAAGTTTTATTATGTGTGGAAGTTAGAGGAGCTGTATTATACTTTTTCCTGGGGCATTTGTTGAAGGAGGAAGATCCATTTTACAGATGAAGAAAGTGAAGCCAGGAGGACAGATTAGTTAGCTCAGCCTCACACAAGCAGACAAAGCTTGGGCCAGAACCTGAGCCCCCTGCTCCCAGCCCAGGATTCTCTGCCAGACACCAGGCAACCAGCCAAGCGTGGCTGTGCCCTCTCTGCCCTTCTCCTGTTCCAGCCCCTCCAGGGCTCTGAAGGCCTGACCTACTTCAGATTCTATCCCCAGTGGCTCGCTCTCACCTCTCTCCACGAGGGTTAGCAATGCTGCCTTCTCAGCGTTCCCCTCCTGGTCTGGAGATGGGAGAGGGACGCCTCGTTCCCTGCAAAGAAAGAACTGTCCAGGGTCCATGCCAAAGGCAGGCCGGTTCTGGGGCTCTGGCTCTTTTAGGCTCTCAGATCCCCCAGGTGGGTGCAGGAAGCTACTCCCCAGGTTGTGCCTCAGCAGAGCACACTCCTGAGGGTGCCTGTCCCACCTCAACAGCCCCAGAGAAAGGGTCACACCACCCCACCTTCCCTGTTCTCACAACTCGGAAATGATAGAGAAAAAACCCTCCCGTTGGCATCCATTCTAAAAGCAGTTCTATTTTGTGCTCCTTTCCTGTTCAGAATAAATAGCAACATAACATTTGAACAGAAGGATGGGAGTGATTTCCACGTGGGCCCCTTACCCAGCGAGATAAGAAATAATTAATTGCTCAGATACCGTGAGGGGAGTGTCCCGGAGCCTCCTGCAGATGCCCTGACAGCGCCTGTACCTATTGCTGGCGCCATGTCCCAGGAATTGTGTCCTCCCTGTCGTCGTTGCCCGGTAGGTTCTTGGTGGGTAGGACACGATGCCTGTAGGGAGTGGGGAGGCCCCTGGCCCATCCCAAAGGTCTCCCCAGAACCCAGGGGCGTAACAATCTCCAGACAGCTCCAGGCAAGAACGTCTGGTCATCCTAGCAATAACTGCCTTGCTGGCACCTACACTCTGCCCACAACCAGAGGGAACGTCCTAAAAACATACACTTCATCAAGCCCTCTCTCTGTGAAACGCCCTCAGGAACCCATTCAGGGCTGGGCATGGTGGCTCACACCTATAATCCCAGCACTTTGGGAGGCTGAAGCAGGCAGATCACTTGAGGTCAGGAGTTCGAGACCAACCTGGCCAACACAGAGAAACCCCGTCTTTACTAAAAATACAAAAATTAGCCAGGTGTGGTGGCACACGCCTGTGGTTCCCAGCGACTCAGGAGGCAGAGGCATGAGAATCGCTTGAACCCAGGAGGCGGAGGTTGCAGTGAGCCGACATCATGCCACTGCCCTCCAGCCTGGGTGACAGAGTGAGATTGCGTTTCCAACAAAGGAAAAAGATCATGTTCAGATGGAAAGGTCTG